GAAGGTTTAAGGTCCTGGGTGTGTCATTGAAGGGTATGACACCATGAACTCAACTTGACCCACTGAGGAGGAAAAAAATACAGTTGAAATCTTAATCATAGCAGTTCCTTTTCTCTCTTCAAAATTCTTCCAAAATTGTTTCTGAAATTCATTTACTTGAAGCCACAGTAAACCTTGCATTTTTCACAGTTTTGCATCATGCAGAGATTAGCAGAAAACACAAGTACTCGCATTCTTTCTGTGCCCCCTTCCCACCCCCTAACCTTTCTTTTTTTTAATAATCATTAACATCTCCCTATTCTTTAGCTTTGTTGAGTCATAGTTGCAAGACTTGCTCCAAAACAAATTCTTTATCAAATGCATGTTCCTCCATCATGTCACACTAACAGCAATGAGCCATGTCTCAGGACAGGGGTCAGGGATCCCTATGACCAGTGAATGCATTAAAAGCAGAATTTGATGGGTAAAGGTAGGGATAGGTAAAGGAAATGGGAAAGTTCTAGTGTGAAAAACAATGTATATGAACTTTATAAGCAAACCAGTATAAAATAAACATTTTATTTCTTTTTTTAAAAAAGCAGAATTTCACGTTCACCTCCTTCTCATTAACAACTCTCCCCCCCCCCACCCCCAGGGATCTATAGGGGCTTTGCTATATTTTCAGCCTATTTATGAAGCTCTCATGGCCTAATGGGTAGTTAATGGCCCTGTCAACTTAAAGGAAGGCAGTTTGAATCCACCAGCTGCTCTTTTTTTTTTGGGGGGGGGGCGGAGGCGGGAAATGGGCAGTCTCTTGCTGCATGATTTACAGCCTCTGAAAACCTGCTGGAGGGTGAGTGACTCAGTGGCAACAAGTTGAGTCGAGTTAGTTTCTTGAGAAAGCTCCAGAGATCTAAGTCCTGGATAGTGGGAAAATCAGTTCACAAAGTCTTGATCCTAAATCCCTAAAAGATGTTGAAAGCAAATCTTAATTCTGAAAGTGATTGAGAAAGGTCTTACCTAACTAAGAGTAGAATGATGGGGAAGAGCACACACTGGACACAAGCCGACTGCCTGGGTTCAAAACTCAGCTCTTCCCCCCACCCCTACTATGGCATTTGACCTTGGGCAAGTCCCTTAAATTTTCTGGGCCTCAGTTTCCTAATCTGAAACTCTATGCTATAGGATTATTGTAAGCACAAAACAAAATACACTATTATCGATATTAACTGTTTATAGTTGTGCTTGATTGGTAGCAGGAGTGGCATCCACTTCCTAAACAACATACCTCTGGAAACTATGAACTTTGATAAATGACCATAGTTACAGAAAGGCTTCAGGCCTTTTGTTCATAGGGTCGCTGAGTCTTGCTTGGCTCCGACAGCCATCAACAAACAACAACAGATACTTAGATGTGCTTATTGAATGGCCCTGGAAAGGCCAGACCTTCTAGGTGGGAACTGTGGGTAACCCCGCAGGCCAAGGGAGTGGCCGGTATCCTAGAAGAAAGTGCTGGTGATCTTCCAGAACATCAGCCAATGAAAATCGGAAGGAACAGAGAGAGATCTACACTGACAAACATGCCTTTACAATGAGTCAGAATCAAGTTTATGACAACTAGTATATAGACCAGCAGAGGACTCTCAGTGACCTAGTGAAATTGGCTTCTAATGGGAAGGCTGGCTGTTCAAAACCACCAGCTGTTCTGTGGGAGGAAGATTGAGCAGTCTGCTTCCTTCTGTAAAGAAAGACGTGCAGTCTTGGGAACTCTGTTGGGCAGTTCATTGTCTTATAGCATGGCGTGAGTTGAGATCTACTCCAGAGCAGTGGGTTTGGTTTAAAATAGAGCAACGTTGCCCTCAGATAAAAGATTCTGTTCCGTTTAGATGCTGTAATGGCCACAGCCTTTGGATCCTTTGGCTTGAGGGAAAACTTTGTTTTTCCTCAATTGAAGTTGCAAGGCACACCCTATACCACAACCTTTAGTTCTATTGAATTAAAAAGGAAATGATGATGTGACTTTGAACACCAAAGTTTGTCAAGTCCTTTATCCATTCTGAGAACACTGTATTAGAGGAGCAGGGGCCCTGGTGAAATACTCTGAGTGGCCCTGAGTGGCCATTGGCTCTCACAGGCTCACTTTGCTATAGTTGAGCTTTTAGAGTGGCCGCAGGCTTCTCCAGAGTGACTGTAGCTCACCAAGTGTCCCCTGCAGAGGAACCCAGAGTGTGCGCCCTGCTTCCTGGTGAGGGGATTTCCATGCTCTGGCCTGGTTGCTTGGGTGGCTGAGCTGTGGGAGAGAGTAATGGGAAGTGAAAAGAGAAACTTTGTTGTGCTTAACCGGCAGGGCTGTTTAGAGTGTGTGACTCTTCTTGTATTTAGGGAAAAGATTACTCATGAGTATTTTCTTCCAGAGAATATAAAGAACCTCAAATTACTGCTTGTCCCCACCCCCACCCCCTTCTCACCCGCCTCTCTCCATTTCTGTGTGTCCTCGGCAGAAACTTCAGCATTTTACTCTCATTTCCCCTCCCAAGTGGGATTCGGTTCTGTATTTGTGTTGGCACCCAAATAAGCTACAAGCAATCAGCCACCTCTGTTTCTAACTGAGCATCATCTGCTCTGTGGCCCCCTCACTACCAGGTGCTTTCCTACACAGGGCTCCACTGGACTCCACCTTTGTCCTTAATGACTAAGTGTGTCCATGTTCCTTCTGTGAAAGAGAAGAAGGTGAAAGTCCATGATATCAGACTTCCGTGCTGTTGTTGTTCAAAGACAACACCATTGGCCGCAGGAAGTAAATGTTACGGTGTTTTTTTAGTTCAGATGGTTTTTGCTGAGCCACCTCCTATCTCACTTTGGTTTTAAAAAAAGAGATACCTGTGTCTGTGGACCATTTTTAATAGGTTCGATCAGGGTTCTAAAGCAAAACTTTGAACCCTTTGGTGAGCAGATTTTACTATGATGACCATGATGTTGTTGTTGTGTATCATCTAGTCAGAAGCAACTCATGGCTGACCCTCTGGAGGGTTCAGAAGCAGTTAATTACATGGGTAGAGATAGCCCATTCTTCTCTCACAGAGCAGCTGGTAGACTTGAACTGTCTGCCTTTGGCATTGCAGCACAGTTTCTTGCCACTAGTCCACCAGAGCTCCCCATAATGATAATAGAACAGTATTACACTACAAATTGTTTTAACATAACACTTTATTCCTAGTTGGGGGGGAAAATGCCAAAAAATTCAAAGAAAAAATTCATAAGACCCCTTCCAATTGTTTCATTGCTTGTGGTTCTATGAGGTGGACTGGTTTTAAAGGAATTTCATGAGGTTAGAGGAAGCTAGCTATCATTCTTCAAAACTGCACATTTCTTTGAAGAGAGAGCCAGCAATCATGTTCAGCATCTCTGGACACTCACCAGAGTAGCTGAGAGTGCTGTTCCCAACTTGCAGAAGAAGACTAGCAACCAGCTAGCCAACTGGTTTAAGGATCACAGATGATTCTTCCTAAGACCACCCTGAGGGACCCTGTAGCATGCTTGTGGAGCCTCCTTAACCACCTTAGGTAGCTTATGTTGAGATGGGGAAGCGCCTCTCATCTAATTATATCATTCCATTGTGCTCTGTTGTAGCTATTGAAACACATAATACAATTTCGGAGAATTATGTCTCATGAGCCCCTAGCTTCTACTGACCCAGGGTTTTCAAAAGTTTTGGTCTCAAAACCCTTTTTAGTCTTTAAATTATTGAAGACCTCAGGTGCCTTTTATTTATGTGGATTATATCTGCCAATATTTTCCATATTTGAAATTAAAACAGAAAATTTTGTAAAATATTCATTTCTTGAAAATTTTAGTTCAGATACATATTAACACAAATGTGTTTTTATTAATATATCTTTTTAAAGCTATTGATACCATGACATTGTAGTATATTTTTGCATGTTTCTGTACTCTCGAGCTTAATAGAAGATGAATGAATGCTTATGTCCTGAACTCAGTTTGTTGAATTATCACATAATCCTGTAACCTCTGGAAGAATCCACTTTATACTTGGGAACGAATGAAAGTGAAAAAAGCAAATAATATCTTTTATTTTCTCATTCATTGTTGCACATTTTTCTCCCTACTCCCTCAGTTCACTTTAAAAAAAAATTCATTCATTAGCAAATAACATCTTGCCTATTTATTATTTTGAAAATCTATTTTACTTCACAGGTGTCCTAAAAAGTTCTTGGGAACCCCAAAGGGTTCCGAGGCCATACTTTGAGACTACTATCCAAACCACTTCCATGATCTAGCAAAGGTTTTCCACAAGGGGAAAGCAAAACAAATCGATAGACTTATTGTCAGGACTCCAGAGATCTGTCCCAGACCACCCTCTCTCATCCTCCATTCCAGCTCCCTCTCGATCCTATTTGACGCCCATGTGCAGCTTTCACCAGGAAGATCTAACATCATGCAAAAGGTCTTAAGCCCAGGGACATGACTGATAGCTTCCCAGAGTCTAAGTGAATTGCTCTTCCTGGAAGACAGTTCAGGGAATACTTCATTATTTGGCAGCTCTGGAAGGTCAAGCTCAGCTCTGGGACAGTCTCACTTCAGAAGGGCTCTGGGCTGGAATCAGACCAGCATCTGACTCTACGCCCACTCCACAGCAAGCTGAGGTTTGTGGTGACTTGGGCCTCCTTTGACTGATTGAGTCCATGAGCTGTAGGGCAAACCTGACATCAAGAATACCCTTGGGGTTGGTCAAGGAAGGGCAGTGTCTAAGAAATACCAGCTCTGAAAGATGTGGAAAAAAAGGTGGTTTGTTTCTAATTTTGCCTCAGATAAAAAGTTCATTTGAGAACACAACATTGGCGATTTTGAGGCAGTAGTTTTAACCTGGGATTCAGAGTTGAACATAAAGTCTCTTCAAAGAGACTCAATTTGGTTAACTATTTAGAAATCTTTTCCCTTTATTCCAACTGTCTAACTGACAAGACCTTTCCCTCCTTTCTGCCTTGCTCTTTCCCCAACAGGCTTGCAGCCAATTTACTGGAGCAGGGATGACGTAGCCCAGTGGCTCAAGTGGGCTGAAAATGAGTTTTCTTTAAGGCCAATTGACAGCAACACATTTGAGATGAATGGCAAAGCTCTCCTGCTGCTGACCAAAGAGGACTTTCGCTATCGATCTCCTCATTCAGGTGAGAGTCTTGACTCTGGGCGTGTGCTCAGCTTAAAGATCTGTTAGTCTGTGTTTTTGGTTCTTGCCCCCACGTTCACTAACACTCAGGTAATTTCCACAGTGGATCACCCTGAGCATAAGGACAGTGACAGCTTAGTTGCAGAAAAAACTGCTGACATCGGCCAGTTGAAGGGGAGAAGAAAAAAAACTTCAAGTCAAAAGGAAACCTTTAAGGTTCAAAATGACCTAGTTAGAACACACAAACATTAAAACGTAAGGGTGTAACTATGCCACCAAATGAAGAAGAAAATGCCATCCTTGTTCTTCAACTCCCTCGCCCCTGACTCTGAGGACTAGAAGAAAAAACACATCAAGTCAGTCCCCAATCAGCAACCCCGTAGGACAGAGAACTGCCCGAGTGGTTTCCAAGGCTGTAAACCTTAACGGAATCAGATTGTCCCATCTTTCTGTCATGAAGCAAATGGTAAATTTGAACCACTGGCCTTTCAGTTAGCTGCCGAGCATTTACCCTCTATGCCACCGGAGCTTCTGAACTAAATACTGGGCTGAGTGGACCCTTAGTAGCTAAGGTAATTATAGCAATAAACTCAAAAGGCTTCAGGTGATTTCCTTTGGAAATACTGAATTTTTTAAGCCATGGATCTTAAAGCTGGTAAAAAAAAATAGTCAATAGTTAAAGGAACGTTTCCTCAGGTACATTGAACTGGGGAGATTTGACAGAACATACTTTGGTGTGTTATCAGGATGAACAGTTCTTAGAAAAAGATGTCATACTGGGGAAAACGGAGCACCCTCAATGAGATAGATAGATTGACACAGTGGCTCCAACAGTGGGCTTGCGCGTGTGGATGGCGCGGCATATAGGGCAAGGTTTCGAGCTGGTGTTCTTGGGGTCACTCTAAATCATAGTCGACTCGGAGCACCAAACGACAAGAAGGCCCTATTGGGATTTCCTGGGTAGTGCAAATGATAACTATTCCTTGGCTGCTACTGAAAGATTGGAAATTCAAGCCCATCCAGAGGTACCTTGGAAGAAAACTCTAGAAATCTACTTTCAAAATACCAGCCTTTGAAATGCTAGTTGCTTTGGCTCTTACACACATGTGGTCATGATTTGGACTTGACTCATCTACAGCTGGGGGTTGTGTGTATAAGACCCCATAAAGTCCAAAACTAGACCCATTGCCATCAAATCAATTCTAGTTCCTAGTGACCATCCACTCACTTCCTTAGGTTTTAAACCTTTATGGGAGGAGACTGCCTAGCCCATGTATATTGCACTGTGCAAGTAGGTCTCCTTTCAGACCACCTGTTGTTGTGTACCATCCAGTCAGCACTAACCCACAGTTGGTAGTTTTCAGAGGCTGTAAATCACATGAGAGGAAACCTCCCACGGAGCAGCTGGTGGATTCAAACCACATACCTTTGCATTGGCAACACAAATGTTTTCCATCAAGCCTCCAGAGCTCCTTTTAAGACTATCTAAGAAGATTTAATTTAGCAGTGAGCATTTGTACCTGCAGAGTGCATTGCTGACTTCAAGTGTGCTTTACAGACTCATTTCTTAATGCTTACGAACATTTGTAGATAGTACACCCTCCATAGGTCAAAAGAAAGTTTTGCCTCAGGTGTTTGCTTCTTAAGGGACCAGTTATTGAAGTACTAGAAACCGTCATTCTGTGGCGTCACATCGAGACCCCTTGTTTGAAGTGACTTATCTGGAAGAATCCCTTTTTTCCCTGACAAAGTAACTGGCACAGTCCACAAAATGCCCAGCCTTTATTTACTCCTGGAGGCTCTCCAGAAGTTAATAAACTAACCGTCAGGAGGAAATGCCTCCATTGCAAGAGATGAGATAAGGGTATGGAACAGTATCTCCCCTGCTTTTCCCAACTGCAGCAAATCATTTCATAGGCGAACATGCTAAAAGTAAAGTTCCCTCCAAAACGTTATTGACAGTTGAATGTTTATCTCTCTGAGAAATGGATCCTTTTTAAGACTTCAGAAGGTCCAGAGACACATCTGAATCATTTTACCTCAGATCACTGATTTCTGTTTTATAATTTCAGAAGAAAAACACAACCAAAATAAATAAAACTCCCTTCCTTAGTTCCTTTTAATTTATTGCAAAGTAATTTTGCTTTCGGTTACAATGGAAATTAATTAAATGATACTATATTTACTCACAAAGGCTAAATTGCATATCTGGGGGAAAGGGGGGAAACCAGTACTTTTTCAATGTTCCAGCGAAACTGTTCATTCAAAAATGCAGACAACCGAAAACATAAAAATGTGTCCTGGGTTGACTTAGACCCTGGGCAAGCTTTCCTTGTCCGGGTGATTCCCACCTCACCTTATCTCTGGTGCTGCTTTTTTTTGCCTGCTTGTTTCTGTCTGACCTTTCAACTTCACTAATGAAACTAGCTTCTCTGCTCAACCCTGGAAGCAAAGCTGTGGAAAGCCTATCAGAAGGTCCTGGCCACTTAGTCAGGTCTTTGCCTGGTAGGCCGTGTGGAGTGGCCGAGCTCTCGGGGCAGGTCCAGATGAGTTAGAGGCAGGATAGCATTGATCCTGTAGGAGAGGAAACCTGAAGCAGGGAGAGAGCAAGGGAGGCTGGGTCTCAGAGGGGGGTAATGAAGGCTGTAGGAATATGAATGGGTTGAATTCAGTAGGTGTGAGAGAGGGTGTTCTGGGAGATAGGAAAAGCATTGTTTTTAGGTACCATTGAGAATTATGAACCCATTTGGGTTCACAGCAGCCCCTTACAATAGAGTACAACTGTCTTGTAGGAACTTCTAGATTGCAGTCTGTATACGGGAGCTTGTTATGAATCTGCTAGATGGGTTTGAACCATCTACCTTTCAGTTAGTAGCTCAGGGCTTAGCCATTTTATCACCAGAACTCCTCAGGATAACATTCTTCTAGTGCATGAGTGTCTGTGAGGAAACTCACCTTATAGATGAAAGAGGTAGGAGGAAGGGAGGCCTGCAGAGGAATGCATAGTCTGGACTTGAGTGTTGTGGGCCAGTCAGGTGGGATAGCATTCACTGAGCTCCCCTTTGCCAGAGGTACAGAAGTGCATGCTGAGGGAGTTCAGGTATAAATAAAACCAGCCACATCCATTGTCATCAAGTTGATTCCAACTTCCACTGGTTCCAAGAATGTCAGGATAGAGCTGTTCCATAATTGTCAGTGGTTGATCTTTTGCAAGTAGATTGCCAGGACTTTTTTCTTGGTCACCTCTGAGTGAACTTGACCCATCAGCAGCAAAGTACTTAAACATTTGTGCCACCCGGGGACTCCAGACAAAGCCGTCTGCTGTCGCATCAGTTCCTGCCTCATGAAGACCTTTCTTTGGGTTTTTGGAGCCTGTGAATATTTACAGAAGGAGACTGCTTTCTCCCACAGAGCCACTGGTGAATTTGAACTTCTGGCCTTTCAGTTAGTGACCCAATTTGTAGTGGCTCTGCACTAGTGGCCTAGTGGCAAGAAGTTTTGCTGCAGTTCCAAAGGCAGGTGGTTCGAGTCCACTAGCTGCTCCGCAGAAGGATGGGCAGTCTCTTCCTGTGCAATTAACTGCCTCTGAAAACCCACTGAAGGGTCAGCTATGGCTCATTTCTGATTCTATGGTACACAACAACACAACACTCTACCAGGACTTTTTAGTTCATGTACAGGAGAAGTTGTTTCTAGCTGGATTGTCAGAGGAGGCTGGAGGATAGTGGTAATTACGGCAGCCTTTGAAAGTTTTGGAAGGTTAGCAGCAGGGACATGAGGAGAGATCTGTGAAGGAGCATAAGTTAGTTGTGTGGGAGGGGAGTTCAGAGATAAAACCACACGTGCTAGACTATTTGAAACTAGACTTTCTGTTTCACCCTTGCCGCTTGCTTTACTTATCTAATTGCCTTTTTAATTTCAGTTCTGCTGTTTCCCCCCCCCCCCGCCAAAAGCCTTCCTTGACTCCTACCCTGCTTTCCTAACTTTGACTTCCTTTCACTTCTCCCCACCTCATTCCAACTCAGGTGCAATTCTCTTATCCTGGCTCATTTTCTACATCTTTGTCCCTGCCCCTGATTCATTCTCTCTCTCTCTCGTCTTTCTCTCCCCACCTCTCTGTCTCCCCCCACCCCGTTATAAACAATTGTTTTCTAGTCTATATTCCCTACTTTAGAGTAGAAGAGGTTCAGTGAGGATCGAGAGTGTATCCTTTGACTTTACGATGTCTCCGGCATCTAGCACAGGGCCTGGCATCCACTTGCCACTCAGTTCAACCAGATGGCTGACTCAGTGTCTGCATAAGGAATATAAGAACAGCATGGCTTATGAGAATGGTGCAGGACCAAGCAGTATTTTTTATTCTGCTGGTCATAGCATCACTCTGAGTCACAACTGACTCAGTGGCACCTAACAACAACAAATATTAACTGAATTATGACCTGTATTGAGAGTGCCTTAAACTTCAGGTAAGAAGAGTGCATTTTATTTTGTAGGTTTTGAGCGAAAGAATGATATGACTGTAGTGTTCCCTTGAGGACTGCCTTTTTTTCCCTTTTTTTCTTTTAAGTAGCACTTAGGATTAATTCACTGGGCTAATAAATTCAGGAAAACAAGTTGAGTGCTATTGCTATGATTCTGATTTGAGAAAATGAATCAATCCTCACATTGAATTAGTGAAACTATGAGACCTTTAAAAAGTAGTATTTAAAGCACCAAGTAATTAACTGTAAAGAGGAGCTGCCTTGGAAGTGGTGGTAAGAATTGGTTTGGGGCCATTGGGTGTTAGGACAGTAAAGACACCTTGTTTTGTTCTGCGTGCAGAAAGCTTAAACAGGAGTCAGACTTGAGCTGGGAGTTCTCTACAGGAGTATCATCCATTCAAGCTGATATTTATGATCTTGGATCATAAATTTATATTGTAGCTAGTTTAGTTAAGATGTCCACCAGAAATTTATGAACAGAACTTCAAAGCAACACCTACCAAAAGAAACTGCCAGAAAA